AATCAACCTGGACACCAAGGTTATATTTTAAGTTAGCCCACGTGTGCCTGCTGGGCCTCATGACCCTCAATGTGTTTGCACTTTCTGTTTACTTTTGCTCGAGTCAGATCAGGTAGAGTCAGATCAGGTACGTACCTGAGTACGTCTAACTACATCAGGATGTTCTTGATAGAAGTTCTTCTCAAATTTGGGCAGCTCATCTAAATTCCATTTCTTTTTTGTAAGTTTTTCCCCAGGGTTTCCAAATTTCTTTCCAGACAGAGGTCCACCTCTACTTCCTCCAAAACGGGGGGCTCCAAACCTAAGGAGAAAGAATGTAATGCAGAATCCAAGAGAAACATTTTGGTCTTCTTACACGAGTTAACCACCATTTTTGTGGTTCACCCTGTAACTTTACAATTTGGATGTAATCCCTACCTACTTTAAGATACTTAAACTTTAAAAAATATACTTTAAGATGCAGATGCCACAACCTGCCTTGCTACAATTCTTATTAAAAAGCTAAGGTAACACGTCTTTGCATTTTCCATTAAATGCAATCGAAAGGCAAGTTACAACATGCAAAGTAAGGCCATAAAACCTTTGCATTACCCCGTGATCAAAATGGATTCCCACCCCGGTGACACTCCCTTTGCTGAAAGCGGGCAGGGGCAGTTATGAAACACTGGGATAACTTTGCCATAGACCGTTTTTTTTGTATCCCAGAAGACACACTTCCCTAAACAACGACGTTTTATAAGGCCATACGTTTTATTAGCATTTTAGGTTCGGTCCCTGTGTTGGAAGCATGCTGATCTCCGACGCCCCGAGGCGCAGCTCGGAGCCCTGCGCTGGATCCGAGCGCGGGGCTCCCTCCCCTGCCCCGATCGCTTCCCAATTTTGGCCGAGCGGGCGCCGGGAGCGAGATCCTTCCCAGCACAACACAGCGCTCCCCGAACGGCCGCTGCTTCCTGCCAGCGCTGTTTCCTTTGTCTCTCATTTCTGTCTACGCCACATTTTCCAGCCGCTGCCATTTTAGAGCCGCGGCTGGGCGGGGGGAGGAGGAGGAGGAACAAAGGCAGCAGCAGCACAGCCGGCATTTTGATTCCCCTCAGCCACCGCATGGCGGGGCCGGCCATTAACATCCGCTTACACAACACAAAGCGGAGCCGGCCGGCTCCTGCCGGCCACAGCCCGAGCCTCGGGAGGGGGAAGGGAGCGAGGGGAACCGCCCTGCCGAGCGCTCCCCGGGGCTCCGGCACCGCCAACCCACTGACCCACAAACCTCCCGCCCGCCCGCCGCTGCCGGCGGGGTGAACCGGGCTCTGCGGGGGCCATCCGTGTTCGAGGTGGTGTCCCCGGAGGAGTGGGGGGCGAGTACTTCTTTCCCCCGACATAAAAAAAAATAAATAAATAAATAAAAAATCACCCACCCGCGCTCCCCCCTCAGCGGTCTCACACCTGCGGGGCTGCGCTGAGGTGGAGGGACCGAGCCCAGACCGCCCCGCCGCCCACGTTCGGTGGCCTAAAAAAAGCCAGGTCCCCTCCCCCCGCCGGCTCTCGCGGCGGGAGCGCTGAGGGAAGGGCTCAGGGCCCAACCCCCGCCCCGCCGCCATCTTAAACGGCTGAAAAACAACCCTGGAGCCCCACGGGCGGGCTCAGAGTCCGGACGCTGGCGGCGGCTGGCGCCGGCCGGGCCCCCGGACTCACCCTCTGTCCCTGTCGCTGGAATACCCGGGCATGGCGATGGTGGCGGTGGGCGAGGCGATCCCGGTCACTTAAAGCGGGTGACGAAGAGTTGTGTACGATCCGGCGCCGCTGGCGGGGGCCGCTCACTGTGGGCGCGCGGCCCCGCGGACGCCGGTTATATAGGGGGGTGCGGGGGCTGCCGGGAGCCGGCGCGTGACGCACGCGTGGGCTCCGCCCCCGCCGTTATGTAAGTGGCCCGAGCCGGCCCCGAGGCCCCGCCCCCTTCCGCGTGGGCGCGGCCTCGGCTCGCCCGACTGACCGGCTTTGAGCTCGCGGCCGGAAGTTCCCCTCCCCTCGGGGGCGGTGCCTGCGCTGACGTCACTGCCCGCAGCGCCCCCTCCCTCCCGGGAGCCTCGTTCTCGCTCGGGGGTCCCGGCCCGAGGGGTCGGGGATGGAGAAGATGATGGAGAAGATGGAGATTTCCCCCTCTATAATTGCAACCTTTCGTCAACCTTCCGTATTTAAGACGCCGCTTGGCTCCTCCTGCAGTTTTTGACAGGGCAGACCTGGAACCTTCCACCCGCAGTGCAGCCCCTCGAGTTCTCATAAATCCATATACAGTCCATGTGAACTGCTTGTGAAAATCCTGAAAGGGCTTCAACACATAAAGCTCAGGGTCGAGAGGAGCCTGGGCTTTTAACTAATAACTGATACTTCATGTTAGATAAGCCACACGCCCACCTGTGACTTTTGCTCTTGGAAGGACTCAGATGTGCAGATCTTCACCATGGCGAGTTGGACTCACAGTAACTGATCATTAAATGCTTCCTAGTTCTTTTAGGCTGTTACCCGTTGCTGTTTATAAATGCTACATATACGTGTCTGTAAACAGTTACCACAGTGTTATCTTTTCGAATTCCAAGCAGGGCCAGTAACCCGACTCGAAGGTCACTCGGGGTGCTGCGCTGAGGGGAGGCTGTGCTGGGCAGAGGGCAGATAAAAACATCCAATACCCCCAGTGGACACTGAGTTTTTCACCTGCCCAGCTTTGCCAGGTGAGGAACAACCTGAATGTCCGGGTACCTCAGACTTTACACACACAAAAGTTGAAGTATAAACAGCAGCCACCTGTTCCAGGCAGAGAGGGATGAAAACCAAAACAACATAAGGAAGAACTGCCATAACAACACTCTCCGTTTCTATCCTCCCACCTTCTAGCAATCCGTGATATAAGGCTTTTCTGAGACAAAAATAACTGCATTCGATGGCCATTTCTTCACATTTTGGTTCTATTTATGCCCTTAGCTTCTAAGAAACCATGACGATGTGTTTCACAGTTTGACTGTACACAACCTGAAAAACATTTACTTTCATTTTCAACATATTGCCACGTAAGAAAAAAGGACACAAATCAAAATGAGTTATTAGAAATGGTAATGATTTTCTATTTATTTATACCCTTTGTGGACATTAATATCTTGCAAGTCACCTTCTCTACAGACCAAAGCTGTAGTCTAATTTTTTGTCTTTTTAAAGCAATTCCACACTTCTAAGTATCCTCACCATTTTCTATTTATTGACAAGAAATTCACAGTATTTATGGTCTGGACCCCATATAGATTTACATAATGAAAGTATAAAGATGTTTTTGATCTGTTCTGTATTATTTTCTAACAATTTTTTCTTTTTTTTTTTTTGATTGTTGCTGAGAATAGAGGAAGGTTTGCAAAGACTAGATTTTTCCACGACATCTCCCTCGAACATAACACTTCAGTCAGGCTTATCTTTGTTTATGAATAGCCACAGCTGTTCGCCCTTCAGTAATCTGGAATTCCACCTCTTTTTCTTGTAATTAACTTTTTCTCTTAGTAGCACTCCAATTTGACCAGTTTTGTTAACACTATCCCTGCAAATTTCTAATAGAGGAACCTCTCCAATTTTTTTTCAGTATGGACTTACTGATTTAATACGGCTTTTGAAAGATTTTTTCCCCAAAATGCTTCCTTTAACACTCTATGCCTACTGACCCTACAGACTTCCTGTTTCTGAGGAGTCTGAAAAAGGTTTTTGCAAAGGCTGCAAAAATAACAAATTATCTGAGTTTTTCTTGTTCTATTACATTTATTTTAACACAGCTAATTTGATTTTTTTGTTTCTGTATAATGGTGGCTCCTGTTTCTGTGCTGTTTAATCTTTCTAAGGTTTTAAAGAATTGAAAAGACTAAACAAAAGCCTCGCCTCTGCCTTGCCTGCAAGCATTTAGTCTGCAAGGAACTCCTTTCGATTTCCTTTGTGAAAAACTTCCTCATTTTTCTGTTCCACCCAAGTTAAACACCATTGATTTTCCTGTTTTCTCTTCCTAATTTGAGCCAATATATGGAAACAAAACAGAGCTTTACAGAGCTGTGTGTGTATCAAACTGCAATCCGTGTTTAGTTTAGCGTCATAGCACTGATGTGTTTGCTTACCTGCACAAAAGCTCTTTTGTGTTCCTAAGATGATGTGTGGATTTGGATTTATATCTACACATGACACTCGGGTGCTGCTGGAGCTCACATCGCTGAGGTTTATTTGCTGCCAGTCATTGTTCTCACAGCCATAACTGGGATCTCAGCTGCTTCTCTCATGCTCCAGGACTTTAAGGACAAAGGGCACCGTTTTATCCTAGCTTCGTGTGACTTGATGCAACACGGAAATTCCAGAATTCCTGAGAAGCATGTGGAATACTGTTGCTCAGTGAGGAAGATAACACATTTTCACCATCCGGCCTTTCCAAAAACCTGTATGCTAACAGCTAATAGAGTATGTTTCACTAGGCAAACCGTTCTAAATCTTGTTTTTAATAAAGGTTTTAACACTCTTTCCATGCACAGAAGCCATGAAAACCTGGATCACCTGGCAATTAACACCAAACCCCCAGTAATAGACACACCGGCCGGCAAACGCCCCAGGCCAGGACCAAGGTCAAGTGCTGGAACCTTCGCCAGGCCGGCCTCTCCCCACCTATTTCCCCGAGAAAACGCCCACAGCCGCCTCGGTTCAGGTGACGGAGGCGGAACCGCCCGGGCACCCCCCGCACGCACCGCCGCCATTTTACAGCGGCAGCGCCCTCGGAAGCCAGGGGCGCTCCCGGGGCTGATTGGTCCTGCGCAGAGCGCTCAGGGGGCTGCGGCACCGGCCGGAGGGGATCGGGGGGAGCCGTGAGGGTACTGAAAACACCGCCCGCAGAGCGGGACCGGGACAGGGACAGGAACAGGAACCGGGACCACCCCAGGGACCGGGACAGGGACAGCTCCCTCCCTTGGCGTACGTGTCGGGTGGCCCCGCCCCTTCCTGCGCCGCCCTCCCAATCAGCGCGCGGGACGCGGTTTAAATGGCGGGGGCGGGGACCGATGGCCGTTGGTGCCGCCATGGGTAGCGCTGAGGGCACAGGTAGGGCCGCGCTCCCTCGGGGCTCCTCGGGGCACTGACCACCGCACCCCGAGGGCTCCTGAGGGCACCGACTGCCGCTCCCCGGGGCTTGCCGTGTCCCTGTTCGGTCCCTCGCTGCGCGGCCTTGCGGTGGGGCGGGTCCCGGTCCCGCGGCGCCGGGAAGCCGCCTCCTCTCGACCTCGTCGCCCCCCAGCTGCTCGTGTCACTGGCACTGTTTTATTCAGTCCCTTGCAGCTGTCTTTTCCTTGTGTTGTGGTTTTTAAGGCTCTTTATGTTAACCTCCCCGTCCTCTCCCCGGTGGCGCTTTTAAATTAATAAAGCTGGAGATAAACAATAAGTGGAGTCTTCCAAGACATCAGCCTGAAGTGTAGGGGATGCTACTTTAACCTTTCATGCACCTGAAATTATTAAAATGCTTTAATAAAGCGATGTCTGGAACTGATGGAAGAGTAAATGGATGGAAAAGTAACACTCTCTATGTAAAGAAGAGAAAAAACCGTACAAGCTAGTCTCTGTTGTAGTAACTGTATACTTTTTCCATTCAAAGATGACTGATCCCTTCTCCAACAATTAAAGTCCTTAATACTTGCTAAAATACCACACTAATTGGCAAAAGCAGCATGGGGGGAGGGAGGGATCCAACTCTGAGAGATCACAGGCTAAGGGAGATGGAAGAACTAAAGTCTTTAAGTTGATGTTTGAACTGGGTGACAAGGAAGAAAGCAGAGCATACGTGTACCTCAAAGCACTTTGAATCCAGGACTCAAAGTTTTGGGAAAATCAGGCTGTTAATGCACATCTCATTGTACTCCTCAGAGCATGAAGTTGGTGGGACCAGCTCCATGTTCTTGTAATCCCTAAAAAAAACTAATAAAAGTAATCCTAGAATCTAGCTTTCCTGGGGAATATTTCCATTCGCACTGATATCATTGCCTAAGAGTATTAGAGAACCTGGGCTTGTAAGAGAAGCTCCTGCTTTTCAAGAGAGTGCATGTCATTTCTGATTATTGATAAACAGCATATCAAAGCTTCATAAATTCTTCAAGAATTGGAATTCCTGGCTATGAGGCCACATCCAAATTTGTTTTCCATTATATGAAAGAAAAACGTAACCTGCCCAGCCTGTGGTACTTTAGTGCCCTTCAGCTCCCAAGTCCAGTTGTGCTGTGACTGTACTTGTACAATATGTTCAATATTTTGGGTGATTGGAATGGCCTGGCTGAGTTTGATCACCTCTGGTGGAGTCAAAGACATTTACAGGGGCTCCATCTTTAACTAACCATGTCCTTATTTCTGTGTCTTTCAGTTCTGACATTAATATGTTTTACTTCTTAATAGATTGGGTTGATGTTGCCAATGATCTTTTAAGGAGCTGTCACATAAACCTGCACATAAAGCATCTCTCAGAATGTGGTGCTGATGTGTTTGTTCGTCTTTACGAGTCAATCTTAGGAGAAAAAGTACCAGGTAGGAATGATAATTTTTAAATCTTTTTATTTTTGTCGCTGTGTATTCTGTAATTAAAAAAAAAAAAAAAGAAAAAGTTTGTGCTTTGTATTTTTGAAAGATTTCATATAACCATATGATATTTGGGCTTTTCACCAAGTACCAGGTCCTGAAAATACTAATTTGTAAGCAGAAGTTAGAGTAGTTTAATTAAAGTACCTGCAATAAGCTGGCCATTTGGATAACCTAAAATCTATTATTTCTTTTAAATAGATTTCATAGCTACTCCCAGGAGCCAAGAGGATGATGCACATAATGTACAAGCAGTAATAGATTCCCTGGCATTGGACTATTTGCAGGTCAGCTTGTCTCACATCACTGGTAAGTATTTGTTTTAATGGACAAACACCAGCTGAGTATCTGTGTGGTTTAATTGGAATAATTTACAAGAACCACGTGTTATCCAACATGCTTTCGTACTTACATGAAGGTCTTTGTCCCATGGTGAATGTCATCAGAACACTGAACCCTTGCCTTGGACATCAGGTTATAGATTGAAGCAGCAAGCAGAGAATAAATAAGAGGAAAATATCCCTGAATATTTTTCTTGTGCATGGAAGCAGTTATTGCATCAATAAATTTTCACTTAATAGAACTGAAAATATGCAAATTTAGGATGCTAAAAGATACCTTAAGCTTACCTGTGTAGCCATAAACAAGTGATCAGTTGTCTTCTGAGCTGACACCTTCACAAGAATTCCCAAGCACTCTCCTCCAGAAAACTTGGAGAATTTTTCTTTTGTGAAGTACTAATTATTAATATGTGGCATTACCTTCTCTTCAGGTGAGAACATTGTGAAAGGAGAGAGGGAATCTATCAAAAACCTCCTTGAAATATTTGATGGTTTGTTAGAGTATCTGACAGAAGCCAGTGAATCTTCTTCTGGCACTGGAGGTGAGCAGACATGTAAACCCAAAGTGTTTCCAATGTAGCAAAGATTTAATTGGTGTTTTTCCCTTATTTATAACCTTGACAATGCAGAAAAGGAGAAAGACAAACTGACTATGAGGGAGGAAATTTCGGTGGCCAAACTGAGTGTTTGCATTCCTTATTTTCATAAACAATAACAAAATAATTTCCCCCAAAACTTGTTAAAAGGCAAGAATTGGAGTACATTATTTTTCTGCTTCATTCTTGTGGCAGAAACCTACTCTAGACAATTCATCCTCTGTTAGCTGCTTTTCAGCCTGTCAGTCAAATGATTTAGGATTAGGATTCAGGGAGGGAAATGTTGGCTTTAATTGGAACAATGAGCAAATGTCCCTTTTACTTACTGGCAGACAAGTGAGGTGGGTCTTGGGAGTAAACCCAGAGCAGGGGTTATTTTGAGGAAAATTCTAAATGGGAAGAGAAGCTGTTCAGCCCTGCAGAGGCATTTTAGTGCAGCCTGAGCACTGGTCTCCCTATCTTAGGGCTGATAAGAACTGTCACCACTGCCTGTTGCACCCTGTGAGAAAAGGGGAGAGCCCTTGGTGGCTGAGATAATTCCCTCCTGTCCTGTTCCACAGTGGGTGGCAGGAAAAGAACAGTAGCAATTTTCAGTGCCTGTACTTCTGCTTTTCCCTTCCCTCAGACTGCTGCTGCTGTTACCCTGTTAGTGGCTCCAATTTTCTAGCTGTAAGTACAGGACTTAATTCTTTTGAGGAAGAAGGAAGATTTATTTATAATAGGAACAATAGGATATGTGACAGTGCTATAATTTTTCAAAACTCACCATGCAAGTTGTGCCCCTCCCAAGAGGGAGCATTATGTGGCAATTTAGATATTGCCATTGTAATGCTTCATTACTTTAAACTGTTTTGGTGATGTTGGAACTAATAGCTCTTAGTTTATAGGTGGAAGTAGTTTTCCTGAAAATAATCACCTCTTGGTTATTAACAGCTGAGGCAAATGTGCTGTCCAGTAATGAAACTCAAACTGCATCTCAAGAGCAGCTGGAAAGCAATGCTGGTCAACTTACAGAACATTCAATAGTCTCATCAGCTGAAGGGTAAGAACACTTCTGAATATTTGCATTGACATAGAGATTGACCATCTCTGTGTACCTGTAGAGAAACTAGTAAGTTTTTAGTAGTGTGGAAACACACTGATTACATATATCAAATGGAATGTGAGGTAACTCTCCTTTGGTCAGGCAGCAAGAGAGCTAAAATTAGATCCAGAACTTTTCTTGGAAGAGTGCTGATGGCATTTTGTTTCCCTTAAGTTTACTTTACAAACTTTAATCAGTTCTAAACAATTGTATTTTAGTGACATTGAATTTGGTTTGTCTTGGTCACTCCTACCTTGGTTTGTCCTGTGGAAGAAGAGCTCGTGTCCCACACTGTCACAGCCACTGTCTGGTGTCACAGCTCTTCTGCAGCTCCATCTTGTGGGCTGAAGGGGCAGAGACTTTGAGAGTAAATATTTCATGGCTTTATGTTCCCCTCAGGTCCCAGTCAGAATATTTCATTCTAACCTGTGATACAGATGGCTCAGAATCTACTGGTGAATTGATTAGACTTGGAGACACTGCTCATTCATTTTCCAGGAGAGAGGAAGGTGAGTCTGGGGGGAAAAAACATTTAAGACCACTCTCTAGTAACACTTCTAGGCTTTTTTTGTTGTTTCTTTTTTTCAAAGTTATTTCTTTCAGGCAAATACTGTTTTAAATTCTTATTTTACCAACACACAATAAACATATACCTGTAGTTGATCTTGCTGAAGTTAAAATTTCTGTAAGTAAGCATTCCACACACTACTTTTCATGACTCCTGAGCCACATTATTTGGATAAAGGTTTGTTGTTTGATTTCTAGTTCAGTTCTGCTCCAAAGGCATTTTGTCTTGTTCAGTAGAATAGGAGAATTCTGAAGACTTGATGTTATTTGATTTATTGCAGTATAAGATTATTTAGGACTGTAAAAAGACTTACTAAAGTTCTTTCTCAAAGAAGACTTAGGAGTGTGGATGCCACTTCAAAGCATTATGGGTGGCTCTGAAACAAAAAATATGCAAACAACTTGAAGGGAGTTCATTCTTATTTCCTATTTTCCTATAGCAGTAGTCCTATTCTTATTGGTGGTTAATCTCTTCAAGTAAAGACATAAAGGAATATTATGAATTGTGAACATTTCATTGACTGGAATTACAAGTAAGAATTTAACAGACTTATTTTGATCATAGTATGGATTGCTGACACCAAGTAATTAATGTAGCAGACAAGAAAATTGTCCATCTCAAGATGCTTTATAGATCTTAATTTAATCTTTTTCAACATCCACTTCTAGAATTTCAGTTTCCTATACTGTTACTGGCAGAAAAGGACAAGGGGGTGGAAGAATCTAAAAGCTCAGAGGCTTTTGCAACATTGCCCAGGCAGTTCTCTGAAGGTGAGACTGGAAAGGAAGATGGTGAGTATTGATTGTTCTGACAGCTTATCCACCTGATTTTGACTTAGAGGTGTAGGGAACTAAGGTAGTGCAGAGGAGAACTTTAGTAATGGATAGAAACACTTAAAATAAATTCTTTTCAGAAATATGATATTTTAGCGTCCCAGAGCATGCAAAGTTTCATTATCCTGGGGTATTTCTGCTTAGCTGGGATTTGGCTTCAGCCAGGATTTTTTTAATTGTGGCTTGTGATTTTTTTTTCTTTTGTGGTTCAGTAAGAAAAATACTGAAAGTAAAAAGTCCTATGGAATATCCTCACATCCAAAATCACGTTCTTGAGGCATAGAAATGTTACAGTACTGTTCTATGCCATCCAAGATGGCAGCTAACATTAGATATTTAGATACTTCCCTTTAAAATTTATAAACAATACACAAAAGCATGTCCTGCTTTCACAGATAACACCTCAAGTTCTTTGTATGTGTCTCTTCAGGATGGATGGAGTCTGTTCATGCTGCTGAGCCTCACAAAGAGGGTTTGAGTGCCAGTGCTACAAAACTGGGGGAGCCCATCCAGCAAGCCATTCCTCTGCTCCCCCCCTTCCAGCCTTCACATCCTGGATGGAGAGATTACCACAGCTCAGACAGACAGGCAGCAGCTTTGGCAAGCAGTCAGGGAGTGAAAATTCCAACTGTAAGGAAAAACCTATCCTTTGATTATTTTTTTATTATTTTTTTTTAGTAACCAATACTGCTTTCATTTTAAAACCTATTTCACTTGCAGAATGGGAGTAGTTGGTCTCTAAAGAACACTTCTGAATGTGTCAGAGTTTATCTCAGTTCAAAGAATTTTGGATTGTGGATTCATTCTTCACTAAGTGTCCAGAGAGGAATTTAATTTGAGGAGTGTGCTTATTTTATACACATATACATACACATCCCCATAATCAATGTAACTGCACAGTTGACAATATAGCAAGCAAAATAATTATGGTGATTTTTATCTACTATAAAATCAGCATTGGTTTCCATTTGCAGACAAACCTAATGTATGACCTTCCTGTCAGCGCTCTCCTGTGAATTTATAGAACACATGTTGCTTTTTATTTCAGCTTGAAAAGTCACCTACTGAAAAATATGATGATGTTTCTGGTAGTCTCCTTCTATCAAGAAAGACCCCTGGTGAGAGAAAATTTTGCTTCCTATAGGGGAACTCTTAAGTATCAAACATTGCATTTATTTTTACTGGCACCACAAGAAACATGGTTTTGAAACTACTAGTGCATTGCAGCCACAAGTTCATATTTCTATCTCTGTTTTATAGAGAAACAAAAATAGGTTACTTTTAATCTTTTCCCTGTGCTGGAAAAAAGTAATCCATGTCCTCAGTTCAACTCCTTTCTTAGTTAATCCCGTTAAGATGGGCCTGCACTACAGAAATCTCTTCCAGCAGATAACTCCCATGGCTGAGCTTATTCTGAGCAGAGAAACATGGACCAAACAAGCCAGTTTCAACTCTAAGCAAAAAAACCCCATGAACTGCTATTGTAGAAAAGCTTTAGAGGCTGGCTTTTTTCAGGACTCATTTTCTCTGTTGCCTGGGAAACACTGCTTACCTTTCCAGTTTCCATAGCACTGCCATGACACCGAGCGCTGAGGACTCAGAGATTACCAAAAGGAATGTCACAACTGTGTCACCACCGTTGCTTTGTCATTCTCTTCTCTTTGAGTATCTCTTTGAATACCTCTTTGGATGCAAAGGCCGTGGCTCACACCTTGTTTTACCTTGTTCCCCACATCAGAAGGCACAGTGCAGCCTGAAGCATCACCTCACACTTACCTGTCATCTGCTGCAGTGGGATCAGGTGATGCTGAGGACAATGTGCTAAAGGTACATGTTGCATCTTTAGTTATGGAAGTTCATTCAGTATTTTTGGATTTCTGCTTAATTCTCCTGGTATCTTGTGGCACTTCTGGGCTTGCTTCAAACCTACTTTAGTCTTGCTTTCCTCAATATACAATCAGTGTTGATAGACTATGACTATGTACAGTTTGTAAGTCACATCAGTTCTTAGTTCTTTCTGGAGCTGCTTGCTCCAAAAAGTGCATGAGCCAACACCCAGAGAGTTCTAATTTATCACAACCAACCAGTCACTAGTTATCTTGCCTTTTAATCAAAAATACACAAAACACAAGAGTATAGTCACATCCTTTCTCTGAAGTGTATCAGCATTCTAAATTAGTAAGAATTTTAGGATTTTGGGGTTGTTCAACCTCCAATAAAACTTAGATTTACTTACTCCCTTATAAAGATCACTGTACTGCCTGGTTATATTGTTTCATTTTATTTTATTGCTTTGTCCTTTGCTTTTCAAAAACTGAATAATGCAAAGCCCACAAATGGATCAGCAGATGCCATTTTGTGCCCATAGAAATGTGTCTGTATAGGAAATTTCTTGCTCTGGAAACACTATTTTTGCCTTCTGCAACCACAAGAGGTACTCACAGACTCCACTTGTTCCTATATTTCAACAGCTTTTACTTCTGCATTGTCTGTTTAAAACATGGTCTCTGTTTGAAACTCATTTTCCATTGGTGCCTGTGCAAGTCCATGCATGGCAACCCCAAATTACTCCTGCTTGAACAGAGAAGTTACCAGGCAGTACCAAACCAGTGTAACTAAGTGGCACAGGGACACAAATGTTCTTTTTTGGCTCTCTGTGAGTCGCAGCTCAGTCTTTATATTCAGTGAAATTCAGCTTATTTCCATTGCCTGGCATCAGTCCAAGGCTAATGAGGGGTACTCACCACTTAACCTAGACCTTGTTCGGGTTCACTGGATGAGCTGTAGATGATTCTTGAACTGATATTCTACATTTTTGCTGCTCTATTGCTTTAAATATTATTTCTCTAAAGCACACTATCTTCAGTCAGGGACCTGGAAATATAGCTATTTTTATAAGTCTGTATCCACAGGGTTTGAGATGATTCTATAAAAGCTGTTGTATCATCTCTCTGCTCATGTGATCTATAAGATTTTCATAAAATATCAATTTACTACTTTTCCTAGGTTCCTCTGGTACCTGAGCCTTCTACATCTGTGTCCTCTTTAGATGAAAAATTCTCACTACATGTTGAACAATTAACACAAACTCCAAGACCTGAATCCAGGTACCTGCCTAGAACACCAAGGCAAGTTCAGTTTTTTGGTCCTGAACCACACTAGCACTTTAATTTCCATGGCCATCCAGCCCCACTCTCCTTTTTAAATAAGATCTCTTCTTCCTTGGCTGTGTGACAGTGAAAGATTAATGTTAATAGAAAGATTTCCTGTTTCTCTTGACATATATTCATGTTCTTAAATATAGTTATAGGCACTTACACATCCAGCTTCTACTTAATCCTATAAAAATGTGCTTATGCAAAAAGTGAATGGGAATTGGGTGAGATAATGCTTATCTTCAAGTTTTTAGTATAGAAATGAAATCTGGTTTGTTTTTTTTTTAGCAGATACGAAAATTCTACCACAGATTCATTTGAAGATTCCCTTTCCCAGGGACCAGCACAGAAGAAGCTTCCTAAACAAGAGCTTCATGAAGCATCAGAAAAACTGTCTCGCAGGCTCAACGAACTGGATTTAGTAAGTGAAATCTCTTTGTTGGGCTGAGCAGCCTGGCTTTAGTCATGACAGTGGAGAGAACAAGAATATAAATTTAACATGGATGAAATGAAAATCCACAGCTAACTCTGGCTTTAGTTCATTCAAAATTTAGAACGGTCTGTTGAACCTGACCCCCCTCAAAAAAACATGTATCCCTTAGATGTTAAAGAGAGCTTTGGGTGAGTGCAGCAGAGAAGAGCTGAGAGATGAAGACAACCTGTCCCAGCACAGTGACAGTGTCATGGACTATGGCCACAGGACAGCTGGGAGAGGTAACCATTCTGATGCCAGTTAAGTATTGGGGTGGAAAAGAATATAAAAAACCCCTTTCCATGTAAAGCTGATACACTGAATTACTCAGAGTTGATTACTAAGTTTTGTATTGTTTGTTCACTTATATTTTGTCTCTGATCCAAACCCGAGCAACAGTAACAGAATTACAACCAAGTTCCTATTTAACACTTAAATAGCTATGGTAAAACTGTACCAAAAATACAAGGCAAACACAGCTGCAGTAAAAAACGTACACCAAGTGGGGGGAGGGACAGAATATAGGCTCCCAGGACTGTGGTTCTGAAATGAGGGCCTGGTCACAATTACACCTCACTGTTTTTTTGTCTCAAATTAGCTCCAAGGTACCCAAACAGGCCTCGATCCCTTTCTCCACCCTCACATTTATATCAGCACCAGGAAGATAAACTTTGTGGTAATGAACATATAAAGACAATCCGCTGCCAGCTGCAAAAGGAAAGGGACGAAAGAACAAGGAAAGCGAAGGTAATTTTTAGGTTAGACTTTGTGGTAATTCTTACCAACAGTTATGCTAAACCCATGAAAAATGCTCTTACCTGATGGAGAATCTGGCCCCTTTAGTAATCATATGCTGTTGTACCTGCTGAGGAAGAGAGTTTAAACCCCAAATTTTGCAAAAAAAGAGAGTTTAAAGTGGAAGAAGCTCCTTTGACCCACGCAGCACACAAGTTAATGAGCTGGTTGTATGGACTGATTATTTCCTCTGACAAGTCCTTCTATTTTTATTTTCTAGGTGGTCAATAAAGCTTATGAAGATGAACTAAGGATTTATGAAGCCAAGGAGAGGCTTAAACTTTGCAAGCTCAGAGAAGTCCTCAGGGAAATTGTAGGTGATGCACTGTGGGGATTGTTGGTTGTGTTTTGTTGGGTTGTTTTTTTCCCTTTCAAATCTGCCTGGATGATCTGTGCAGGCACTTTTGGGTACAAAAACCCCTTGTAACTTGTCACAGTTACAGCACTGTGTACTACTGAAGTAGTGACTTAGCAGTGTTAAGTGCTGCAGAAGAGCTGAGGTTATGCAACAATGATATTTAACCTTTATTTGAACCCTGACCTGCATTTGGTGAATTCTGGCCTTCTGGAGAACCCAGTGCAATATGTCCAAGTTCTCACTCTAAAGTTTCAAAGACATTTAAGCTCTGATGGCCAAACTGTGTTCTATCAGTCTTTCCCTTCTCATACCTGTTCTCCATCTGTTTTACATCTGCTCCTAAGGAACAAGAATACAAAGAAAACATCTTTAAAGAACCTCCAAAAGTGTCTCAGCCAGTGAAAGTTTATTCTAGAAAAACCACACCTCGGATTCCCAAATACAGCCAGTGGATTCCAAAACGAGGGGCCATGAAGCCAAAGCAAGCAGATCCAAGTAAGAACTGCAAAACTATACTTGGTGGAAAACTGGCATCTTTTGAAAGCATGTGTTGAACTCCAAGAATAAAGGCACCAGTCCAACATATACCAGGCAGCTGCAGCATTTTCCCCTTCTCCTGACCTCTATATGTCTGGATTTTTGTTAGGGAAGATAATGCTCTAAGTAAATGTAAGCCATCAATGCACAATCAAACTGTGACCCATTTGCTACTTCCTTAAAATCCGTTGGATTATTTTCAGGGCTTGTTTCCATTACTGCTACTCCTGTGCTTGTTCCACTACAGTCTGAGCTCTCCTTCTGTTCTTTTTCTGAGCATGTATCAGATTTAAAATTGGGCCTTTGGCTTGAGCTGAGCCACGTGCAGGTTAACAGGGGAGGATCTGTCAGGACCCTGCCATTGTGCTGTTAATGCTGCCACTGGTTTTGCTGGGCAGGTGATGCTCCAAGAACAGCCAGGATGCAAATCCCAGGCTCAGTTTTGGTAACCAGCACTGTGTGTGCTTATGGATCCCCTACATGCCTGGGTGTTGCTCAGCTACACTGCCTGATTTTTTTCCCCAGTTTTTAAAGGGCATGTACTTGGTAAATACCCTTTTGTTTCATCTCCCCATCATCTTTTCCTGCCAGAAAGATCAAAGATGTACTGGGAATGAGCTGGTTGCAAACCAGTTTATTTTGCACTTGTTTACTTGACCTGGATCTGTCATTACTCCTGTGGTGTTGGCATTATTTTAAGTTGCTGCAACCAGAGAGAGAGGGACAGCTAAAGAAATCACTGATTAGTAATGGTCAGAACCAGATGAAGAAAGAGGGGGATACATGTCTTAAATGTATGTGGTGGTGGGAGGGAAATAACACCTGAGCTCTAAAAGCAGTTCTTCAGAAAAAACAACAAAAGGTTGGGATTAGTCTCTGCTGCTGGACTGGCAGGATGATGTTATGTCCTGCTGGGTTCAGCCTGACACTGTAACAACAGGATGGTATTTTATAGAGAATTCAATATAAAATATTTCATAATTTAGTCTGGACAAATTTACCACTAAATGTATTGTGCAGGAATTTATTGCTTGCATCTGTCTTTACCTTACAGTGATGATAAGGGACAATAACCTCCTGGTGAAGCTGCTGGAAGAGTTTCCCTCCCTGCACATTTCCCACCGCACCCTGAATAAAATGTGGGAGCGGCAGCTTGCACAGACAGAGCACCTGCAGGCAGCTCCTGGCAGACCTAGACCCAAACTCCTAAATGAAGTGAGTGTTCTCCTTTTACCTGCTGAGTGTCAGCAGAGAAATCCTGACACAACATCAGCAGCCACGTGCAGCACAGACAGGGCACCTGCACACCGTGGAAGGCTGAATGTCTGAGCTGGGTTAAACAGGGATGTACAAATTTAGAGACATGGATTCAACTTATCAGCCACTGGAATAGTCCTTTTTTTATCCTCGTTTCTCTAGTACTGCCTGGGGTTGCTATTGCCTTTTTAAAAGCACTTTGTGGTTTCAAGTGCTAGTTCTGAACAGTCTTAGTTTAAAGGTTAGTTGTGAGATACAAAAGTTGATTAACTTCTAAGAGGTAACTCTCAACATAAAGACAAAAACACAGCAGAGGGGCAATGTTTAAACCTCCAATATACAACAGCTTGTCCTGCAGAATGATGGAAGTTATCAGCTTTTTTTTTTAAACCTCCAGGTTCAACAAGCCCTGAGGAAGCAACAGCTTCTTGCTGCAATTATTAAAAAAGATCAAGAGCACAGCAAGAGACTGGTATGTTCTTTGGAGGGTATTTGTTACATAATACATTCATGGTGAACTACCTAGAATGCATATTCCTTGGTCAGGAAAGTGGCTTTTTATCTTATGACAGTTTTATGCCTTTTGAGTAGCTGTGGTCTCAAATGCCATGTGATGTTTGTTGTGTGGCTACTGGGGTCATGGGAATGGACTATTATTTTTATTACAGTGCATTGTTGCTTTAAAAGGTCAAATTCTAGAACTGCAAGGAAGAGAACCTTCAGGCTCTGGGTGTTGCAGCTCCCACGGTAGCACTGACTCCAAAATTCTATAGTGCCTCTACTGTGCTACACCAGTGGTGACTAAAGCTTTAAACCACAACTGCAGTGTAAAACTGGGGTGTGGGGAAGAACCCTAATTAATTAGCAATGATTAACAAAGCAATACCTGTTGGCAGTTTGGTCTTACAGCTGCTTGTTCTCCTTTTAGCACGAATTTAAGACCCGCATCTCCCGCCAGATCTGGGCTCAGAACAAAGTGACAGAGAAACGGCAGCAAGTGGCTCGAGCCAGGAGATACTACGAGGATTACAGGGTGCAGCTGAGGGCCAAGCTGATGAGAGCCAGGACACGGGAGGAGAAGGTGAGGACAACATTCCTGCTCTGCAATTCCTTTGTGTTTGCACCCCAGTGCTGAGCACCCTTCATCCGGTAGCTCAACTAATCCTACAAGTAGAGAACAAGTGAAGTGACCAGAGCAGAGCCAGGATTAAGTGGTTGGTCAGTCACTGATGACACAGTTCCTTCTCTGGAAACATGGATACAGTGTAGGGCAAATCCCTGTGGAACAAGAAAAGCTTCTTCAGGTTAAAAGGAGAGGAAGGTGAAGTATTAGTATGGAAAAACAGGGCTGGTAACGTGAGAAATTGGGGAAATGAGTTTTCAGAAATAGTAGGATTAAGAAGTTGTTCCTATAGTTACTATCCAAAGAAAACAACCTAAACCTTCAGTTAAGATGATGATCAAACAGCAACTTTGTTATTCAGTTGGGTTTGTTAAACAAAGTGGACTTTGTGACAGATATGATCTCTAATTAGGGCTGGACATCAGGGACAAGGAAAGCAAGGAGAGCTGTTAAGACTTTGCAAGAGCAGATACAAAACTGTCACCTTTTAAAATAAAAGATTAGAAGTTTAGTGCATAATCCACTGTTAGTGATTTGGGAACTGTTTGCCTCAAGCTGTGAGCTACAGCTGGTAAGTGTTCTTGTGTAGAAATGGAAAGCCTGAGTCCAGACTGGATTTCCTGCTGCTGGAAATCTGGATGAAGGTCCTGAAATTAGACTCAGAATGCAGGGTGGGCTGTAAATCACGGTGCATGTTCAAAGGCCCTGGCTTGTGCTGTCGGGTCATATGACTAACCTGACACAAAAAAATGATTTTATCTCCCAGAATTTCAGCTAAATGAGTAATACAAACCCAGCTCAGCTGTATCTGCACCACCATTCCTAGCTGCACAACTGGACTTTTTCCTGGGCAGTGGCCTGTCCTCCTGTGATCACCATTCCAGCAGGAGATGCAGCAGCTGAAAAATGTAACCGTATTCTTACAGGTTTCTGGGAAAGTTTCAGCTTTGCTTTTCTTAATTGCTGGCAGATATTTAAAAACTTGTTTGAAGAAGGGTTAGAAATTCAGAAGCAAAGACTGAGGGACCTGAGAGCCTACGCTCAGGAGAAGCGTGATGAGCAACGGAGGGAACACCAGAACGAGCTGGAGTCCATGGAGAACTACTACAAGGGTCAGGTAAAGCTTGATCTGCCTCAGGCAGCCCATATTTTTACATTAGAAGTCTTTCTTTTCTTTAATTGGTTCAACTCACACATGTGTTATGCTTAGTTTGCCATGCTAGCAGAAGCTATATCTCAAGAATTCCAAAAAATCCAAACCAGGGAGAAAGCACAAGCACAGGTAAGTCTTCTCAATTTTGTCTCGTTGTGTTTTCTTTTTACATGCTGTGGCTAATGTCAGGGGTTTTTTTTTAGATGCTACAGAAATCAAAAAGAGAGCTAAGATCAAAGATGGAAAAGGAAATACAGCAACTGCAAGCAGCAATCATGCACAATGATGATGACACCTTTTTTCAAGAACTAGAAGCAGACAGACTGAGGTCTAGACTTCAGATGGCTTCCTTCCAGTACAGCCAAGGCCATTTCTTTTAAGACTTAGGTAAATGTCACTGGCTAAGATGATGAAACTCTTTGAGAGCTGCTGTAATGGGAAGATGATTTGTGGCTGTTTTTTTCTCCAGAACATTTGGTCTGTCATTTTGACCTGTCGGGGGTGTAGCTGCTGGGAACTGGGATCCCCACAGCACTTTTATGGTCACCAATAAAGTTTTTGAAGTACTTTCTACCTTCTTAGCAAGGCTGGGATAATGTTGAGCTCTACCCAAAGGCAGAGGGATGGAGTCAGAGTGCTTTATCCTGGTGGAACAGTTGGATGCTGAGCCTCCTCTGCACCTGTGCTGGGGCTGTTGTTGCTAAGCCACACTAACATCATTAGCCAGAAGTTACTGGATTGGAAAGCTCACAAAGAACAAGAAGATCTTTAAAAGAACATCAGAGGTTCAAGTTTCCTGTGAAAGGCCAAGTTAGAGAATGGCTGCAATAAACCTGACATAAAAAGATCAGGAATTCAGATACACTAAGCAAGGGGGGACTGACTACTTATTCCATTACTTCTTCCATTCAATACTGTGTTTGTAGTGTTGGTGTTGCTGGCCTGCACAAAATAAAGGCACATAAAATACTCCCCCCATGCTACAAATGCATTGGGAAAAGCAGTTTGAAATAGAAAACAATGAAGATTCTTCTAAAGCAGTAAAAGATGAGCTTCTGCAAGAGCTGAACCCTGGAAAGGAGCTGTGGCCATTACTGATACAGTCTCCTCTGCCTGACAAAATTTAGACTTTTAAGTAGTTTATCTTGGTAATGAGGATGTACTAAAGTTGAATTTTAAACACGAGAGTTCTTGCTTAAAACTGCTGTGTGAGAAGTGACAGAGATATAGTTATTAATTGCATTATACTCACAATATTTGAAGGTTGCCATGAGGTGGTGTCTGATGGAACTGACAACACACTCAGGGAATTCAGACTCGTGCACTGAAAGGAAAAAGAACTACAGAGGAAAAAAAAAGACCTCAGCAGCTGGAGAAGCTTCTTTTACAAATAAAACACACCAGCCAGCAGTTAGAGCATGAGATACTTCACCTCAAAAATACAGACCCAAAAAACACACAACAAAACCCAGAAACACAAACCCTGCCTTTTACAACCCTTTCCAGGGAGTTGCTTTAAGCCTGGCTGACGTGAAGTCTCTAAGGGACAACACTTACCAGCTAAGCTGATTTAATTTAGCAAGTATTTACCAAATTTACCTTTTTTTTCCCCTGAAGGAAGATGGTTTAGCTTTGCTGAGTTTTGAGAGGAGTCATTTGTTCACCAATGCCAAGATAATGCCAGGACATGAGAGCCAGAAGTGAGACCTCTTGTGCTTGACTAGAACATTCTTGTTCTAGTCTAGAAAATTCTTGTTCTAGTCTAGAAAATTCTTGTTCTTGAAGAGAGTCCTTTCTGTAGGTACCAGCGCACAGAAGGACACCAAGTTTTACATGTTTTCTCCTGAAACAAAGTCGAGTTACTTAAAAACGAAATTTTACATTTTAAAGATTTAATTAATAAAAACTCGAAACTTTTAAAACCATTGATGCTGTGACAGTGCAAACAGCATACAATTTATTGCTCAACTTCTGCATGGGTACATACATTAAGTACTTAAAAACCATTTTATACAGATTTTGTTTGTTGTTGTTGTTAAAGCTCATGTAACAGCTGGGTGAAAATACAATGATACCAACGCTAAAACACTCGGTAATAAATACAGTGGAAATGATAAACTAAGAACTGTCAGTTTGTGGAGGAGTAATTACACTTGGATAAACTAATTACAACTACAGACAAAGCTCTGAGGATGTGGTAGAGCCAGGACTTACTACATAGTGTAAAGTACAACCAGTGGCACCTGGTAATGATGTGGTGCTGTTTCAAACCCAAAGCCATCAGAACATGCTACATCCAGCTGGAGGATGACAGAGAAGCAAAGCTTTGACTTCCATCAATGCAGCCAGTTCAAATGCACCAGAAGTTCAATACAGATGTAGTGTTGGAGACCAGCAATTTAAAAAAAAAAAAAAGTGTGCTCTGGACTTTAGTACAACACAAAAAATTTTGGTACAAATAAATCAGTTTAGGGAAACTGAAACTATGTGCAAAAAAAAAAAAATTAGAATACATACTGTACAAAGCACCATTACAAAACTCTTTACACCGAGAAATTAAATCCTCTGAAACTCAACTGTGTATATTTGAAATCTACAAAAGTCACTGTTCATAATTAAACATTCATCATGAAAAGCAACAGCATAAAACCATGATGTGACATCTCTTTAAAACAACTAAGACTGGATAAAGTAAAACCCAGTAAGAGGGACACATTGAAATAAATATTCACATTAATCATGGGGTGAAAGTCCAAGGTTAAAATGCAATATTAGGCTTAGCACCTTTTTTGAGGGGAAAGTAGCTGACGTGATCCTAAAACAAAATTTTGCAAAGGAATCAAACCTTTACCATTTTCAGATGAACATCTGACTGGGTGATGAGGTGCTTTAGTTAAAGCTCTCAGACTTTATGAAGGTAGAAAGGCACTCAAAATACTTGGTATATTCATCCTCATCTGTCAGCTATGGAAAGTCCAATGTAGATTTGTCTAGCTTTGCCTATAATATATTAAATTTAAAATATTTATCTGTGGCAGTTAAAAAAATTCTCTGTGCCATAAGAAAACGTTTGGTAGAAAAACAGATGTACTGCTAAGGCTGCTGTGAAAATGAACGTAACCATCGGCTGGTCTCGGGTCTGTGTTCTGCAGAGCTCATCTCCTCCCTCCTCAAAAATGCTTTCATGACATCAGGGTGGCCATAACTGTGTCCAATAAATCCACCAAGCTCAGGGGCCAACAGGGAGCAGGATCCTGGGAGGGGTCAGGAGACAGGGCAGGGACAGAGCAGGGCTGAGCTGTCTGGCACAAATCCCCTGAGTCACCTCACAGGGCCCCAACTTCTCCCAGAAGCTGGAGCAAACCAGATCTTACATCTGCCATAATGTCTCTCCTGACCAGGGAGCAGCAAGAGCAGGGGAAAATAAAAACAAAACTCACTTCTACAACACTGGAGTGTCCTGTGGAGGCTGGTCACAGGAACCTGTGTCTGTAAAATGCCTGTGAATCCATTGCACCCCAGCACGTGCAGGGGGTGAGCAGAGGCTCTGGGAGGGTCTGGAGCTTGTTCCCAACCATGGGCAGAGTTGTGAGTGAGGAACACACTGGGCAACAACCACCTACTTTGCTCTCCCAGGCCCCTGGACTGACACAGCAGCAGCTTCTCTGGTACCAGAATTACCTGGAAGTCGTGAATTAGGGAGCCCAACGTGGATGCAAAAACACCACCAGCCCTTCAACAGGAGTGCAAGAGTCCCTTGACATTAAAAAAAAGGTTCTGATCTAGCTCAAACCTGGCTGTCAAACCAAGTCTCTTGGCTTTCTGTTCACATCCCTAAGTAGCCTCACCCTGCAGCCAGCCTGGAATGGGAAACAAGTCCCTCAGAACAACCCTGCCAGCAACAGCTGTACAAAAAAAATAATCCAATGAACATGTGGCTTTGGCTCACCAGATTCTCACCACAAGTCTACAAAAGCAGTCCCTTGCCCACTATTCTAATACACAACATCCAGCAGTAGTGCACTCACTGTGGCAGTCAGACTTGGCAGAACAAAACTGAGCTCAAGCTCCACAGAACAAACAGAAAATGAGCTGGTTCACTGTGACTTCCACTGCAAACATGGAACAGCTGCTTCCATCCCATCCCTTCAGCATTTCCAACACCTCTGACTTTCTTCTCATTGGCCATGTAAAAATAGTGCAGGTTTGGTGATGAATTGTAACCTGAGTTACAAAACCACAACGCTGATTGGGAAAAAAGCCTCTACTTATCCCAAATATCCTCATGGCTGAGAGGAGAATGGCACCATCTCTTGAGCAGCCTCCTTTATCCACACACCACGAGCAGGTCAGACAGATCTTAACTGAGAATTTCCAAACTAACATCAAAGTTCAGTTCCCTCTACTGGTAGTGCATTTTATTCCCCTTTGAAGAGATCAACCCATGTTATAATTCATATATATACTTACTTCCATCCCTACAATCAATAAATTATGTGCTCTTACAACCCCATTTCCAAAGCACATTACACGTATTTCAGTCAATACACCATTTTTCCTTAGTTGTAACTTAAACCCACGTGTCATGAGCAGCTGGACAAAGATTACAACGTGTTTTACCTGATAAATCTTTAGCATCAACAAATACAGAACATGATTTGGCTGCATTCAAACAAACTTTGGTTGACTGGACAGGGTGGGTTCTGAAAGGAACTGCCCAGAGGCTTCTGCTGGCAAAGCCCAGCAGCTCTTCAAGAGCTGAAAAATGCAGTGTTTCAATTTAAAGTCAAAAGCAACGAAAAATACTCTTGACAGACTCGTTAGAAAAAAGGCTGTTTTTAAAAAAAATCCAAACATCTACTGTTCATTAAAAAAGGTTATTCCACATGTTAACACCAGGACTGTACAAACACAGTCTGTGTCACTCCCACTAGAAATTCTGCTGGAGGAATCTGACAAGTGATATAAATAGGACCCCAAAACGTTCAGAATTCATGCTTGAAAAATATAAAAAACCCCCTTGTGGCAACATTTACCTTGAATTTACATTGCAGAATATAATGTTTTGCTATAAGAAAATGCAGTTAACATGTAAGTGGCTTTAATTAAAAAGGTTAATGATTCTTTCAGCCAATTTTATGCAAAGTTAGAATAATCCAAAATATTTTTTTTTTCCAAAAATAGCAGGTATAGATGCTGTTCAGTATCATACATTTAAAACAGGCTGAAACGTGACTTGTACCGACTGCTGAAGTTGTGTCTTGGTATCTGAGAATAGAAATCAGGTAGGCAAATATAATAGATTACCTCTTACAAAAATAGTAGTAGTCTTTAAGTATAGAATACTGCTTAACTGTTGAAATGTAGGAAAAGTCAGCATTCTGTATGTTCAAGATATTAGTTTTTAATAGCAGCTGAATGATCCTATGGCAGGAACCACAGAACCCATTTTCTTGAAATAAAAAATAATAATAAAAAAAATTAAAAAAAAAAAAATCCAAGGTTGTCCTTTCCCTCCCAGTGTCCTAGTGTAGAAAAGGGAAAGTTTCCTGTATTTCAAGCATTTCTTGAGTCTTGGCTGAGGGAAGGAAGGGCTGTCTGGCTGACAGGAGTATAAATAGAGTCTGGGAGAGGCTGGGAAGGGTCATTCCACAGCGAAGCCACAGGTCTCCTCGATGGCCGTGAGCAGCTTCTCGTAGAGCTTCTCGTAGCTCTCGTACGGGGGAATGTCGATCCTGTTGAAGCTGAGGGGGGAACAGAGAGGATTCAGCTGCCTGAGCTCCAAAAACCACCTGCAAAGGTCTCTCCCACCTCATCTAACTGCAAACAGGAGCAGCCAGGCCGAGCGAGGCCAACGCACCTCCAGCTCAACCCCAGCAAGTCGAGTTTTCTCTGCTGCCTAAGGGACAGTTTATGTCACAAAAGGAGGGGATGACAAAGGGAAAAAGAACTAAGACTGCTCAAAATAAACAGACAGCAGATTGGTCTGAATCTACTGATCACAAGACAGACCTGACAAAGCCTTACCAGGTATGAGCTTTCGGCAAATTGTTAGTGCTGGCATCGATCTGGTGGATTGTGAAGAGTCGTGGGCCTGCAGCACCTGGAATGCAGGAGAGGAGATCTCACTACTGGGAGGCACAACATGAAATGTCTTTGTGGCACTGCAGCAATAAGAAAGGAACTAGAACACTGAGAGAAGCTCTGCACAAAGAAAGGTGAAACCATAAACAGGCAGGAAAACTCCAAACAAACTCCCTCAGTGGTGTGGGACACTCTCCCCTCTGCCCAGACAGACAGCCCTGCAGTTATTTAAACCATGGAAAGATAAAGAACAAAGCACTGATAAGAAGAATAAATCAAATGTTTCACACTTCTCTCACTCTTCGTAGACAACAAAACTTGCACAGCTGTACCTGTCCCTGTTTTACAAGAGGTCTTGAATATCACCCAATTCCACTGAAATTCCATAGAGGAGCCACAACACCAATTCCTCATAATTTTGTTAAATTTATCTGACCATTAGAGATCCCTTTAATCTCTCTGCTAAAGAAAGAAGACTGCAGCACAGCCATCCTTCACACTTGGTGTGCACTGGAGATGCCACAAAGGACAGGAGAGGTTACAAATGCCCCAACCTGAGCAGAACAGGAATCCTGGCCTGAGCAGACAGACATTAAAAATACAATTCACAGGGTCTGTGTTTCTCAAGGGGACTCTGCTGTTAAATAACAGTCTGAGCTTGTGCTGTGTGACTGCATTTCAGCCTAAAAGAAGACTGGTGGTATTATCTGGTCTGTTAGAAGCAGGTGTTATCTGGTCCCAGAGCTGTGCAGGTAATGAGGGCTTGTAGAAGTCAGGAATTAAAAACCAGGCTTGTGGAACAAACCCAAGGAGAACCCCTGTAAGATCTCAGCTGCTCAGAACTCCTGCCAGAGAAGGAAGAGCAGAACTGAAACAAAAGAGCCATTTGCACCTGAATAACAAGGTAACAGAAAGACACCCAAAAAAGGACTGTTTGTGATTGTAATCAGACCGTTAAAATCGCTCTGAAAAAGCCCCGTTGCAGCCCCCCAGCCCCGTTTCCAGCCGTGCCCGGTGTTACCTTGCAGTGCCTTGAAGCCCTGCAGGGGCACTCGGGAGGAGCCGGTCACGAACTGGAGCAGCCTCGCCCTCCTCTCCTCGTCGAAGAGCTCCACAGCTTTCCAGAACCATTTCACGATGTTGCTGTCTGGGGTACAGTGTTTTAACCTGGTATTTGCCTTCCAGTCATTTACATCAATTTTTCCCAGTCCGCAAATGATGAGCTGTAAATTTTAAAAGAGAATTATTAAGAGTATTTCATCACTGATCAGTATAAAAATGGGTTGGGAGGCAGCCAAATGATGAAGAACTGATTGGGAAAAGCTGGCAGATTTTATACCAAAGGCAAACCTCTCACTCATCTTAAGC